TTTCCAGCCGTAACACCCATACACACTCATTCACAAACACACTCATACACTACAGCCAGTTTAGTTCATCAGTTCCCTTATAGCGCATGTGTACAACATATGCTGGATAAGTTGGTGGTTCATTCCGCTGTGGTGATCCCTGATTAATAAAGAGACTACGCTGAAAAGAAAATGGATGAATGAATGAATGAAGAGCTATAATGCATTATAAGCATGAGCTTCAGAGAGAGTGTTGCTGATCTTTGTTTCAGTGTAGAGGTCTGCATTCCCGCGGCTGTACCGCAGGAGCCGATCAGATTTATTCCACACGGGAATCAATTTCCGAATAAAGCGCTGGAGCAGTCGGTAACTGGTTTAATGTTGGACAGGAGTGGGCGGTCTAACAATATCACTCCCGACTCCCGAGCGAGCGAGCGAGCACGCGTATGAATGTGTGTGAATGAGACAGCGTGATGCTGCGTTTAGTTGATGCTTGTTTGTTGCTGTGTGTGTGTGCGCACGTGTGAATGAGAGGTGTGTGTGTGTGTGTGCGGGTGTGTGTGTGTGTGTGTGTGTGTGTGCGAATGAAAGAGAGAACTTTGTGCTGTCTGTGTGTGTGTGTGTGTGTGTGTGTGTGTGTGTGTGTGTGTGTGTGTGTGTGTGTGTGCGAATGAAAGAGAGAACTTTGTGCTGTCTGTGTGTGTGTGTGTGTGTGAGTGTGTGTGTGTGTGTGTGTGTGTGTGAATAGAAGAGAGAACTTTGTGCTGTCTGTCTGTGTGTGTGTGTGTGTGTGTGTGTGTGTGAATGAAAGAGAGAACTTTGTGCTGTCTGTCTGTGTGTGTGTGTGTGTGTGTGTGTGTGTGTGTGTGTGTGTGTGCGAATGAAAGAGAGAACTTTGTGCTGTCTGTGTGTGTGTGTGTGCGCGAATAAAAGAGAGAACTTTGTGCTGTCTGTGTGTGTGTGAGTGTGTGTGTGTGGAGATGCCTATATGTGTGTGTCACTTGCTTGGTGCTTATGTGTGTGTGATTATACAGACAGCTTGTTATAGGCTGTCTGGACTCTGTATAGCTGGGTGGTTTTCGGTTTTGTTCACCCCCCGCTTGTAGCGGGAACGGGGACAGCGGGTAGAAAACGGGGCGGGGCAGGCAGCGGGACAACAAATGCTGGATATAAGCGGGAGTGGTCGGGTTCGGGCTAAAACCTGGCGGGAGCGGGCGGGAGCGAGATTCAAAATGTAGTCCCGCGCAGATCTCTAGTTCAGTGTACTGCACATACTAATATCAGAATAACAATATTGTTTTAATGTAATTGTGCAGTCATCATTTTCCCGAATCATTTAGTTTTACATTTAAGCGAATCTATAAGTAAGGCCATTTTTATGTTCGCTTCATTTAATGGATTGAATAGACACGGGATGAATTAGGCTGTGAATCCTCAAGCCTGAAGGCTGGTCTGGTTAAAGGTTTTTCTCTCTCTGAGCGTCTCTGAAGCAGAGAACACACGATGTCTGCGTTCGGATTTCATCTGACCTACTTTCAGCACAATAAAACCCAAACATTTCACTCAGACGCACCAAAAAAAACCCAGATTAAAAACCACGAACAAGCAGCAGCCGACAGAGGAGGAGACATGATGGAGGAGCAGAAAAACAGCACAAAACCGAGGAGAGATTTCTGCATATAACAGCTTAATAACTCATCTCTCATAACTGATTCCTTTTCCCTTCACCATGATGACAGCACATAATGTTAGACTAGATATTCTTAAGACACTAGAATTCAGCTTAAAGTCACATGTAAAGGCTTCACTAGGGTAATTAGGGTAAAGTTAGGGTAATTAGGCAAGTCATTGTATAACAGTGGTTTGTTCTGGAGACAATCCAACACTAGTATTGCTGAAGGGGGCGAATAATATTGACTAATACTGCTTTTATTCCAGCCAAACTAAAGAAAACAAGTAAGACTTTCTCCAGAAAAAAGCACAATAGTAAATACTGTGAAAAACCGTCATAGGAGGGCGAATCATTTTGCTTCAACTGTATGGTTAAGGTGTGTGTTTCCTGTGGTCGGGTTTAGGTAGGGTCGCCACCCGTCCCTTAAAATACGGAATATTTTGAATCAATACGGGACAGGTTTTGTCCCGTATTTATCATTTTTTTAAAAGTAGCTTTTCATGCACACGCATTTACTGAAGATGCTTCATTTCCTACTTTTGATTGGGCAATACTTGATGTCATCATTAGTTTGGTTGGTCTCCAGGGGCCTCATATATCAATGCTGCGTACGCACAAAAACTTTGCGTACTCCAGGTTTCACGCTCAGAATCGCTCACGTTTGGATTTACTAACGATGAACTGAACGTGGGAATGTGCGCAGCTCCACGGCAGCTTCATGGCTGGCGTACGCACATTTTTGGTGTGTGTCTGTTTTATTTCCATTGGCGACTCCTAGAGGCAGTTGTGTTAAATTGCTCTCCACAAAGTGTCTGAGCCGTGCAATGGCAGCTGTATGAGATGGGTTCATCTAGCAGGTATATAAGGTTTCCATACCATACAGTTGACCAGCTAAACATTAAAGCACAATTTGCAGGGGTCGCCTGTTTTCCCAATGTAATCTGAGCGATCTACTGCACACACATTGCTATAAAGGCGCCACCTGAAGATGAATTTGCATGCATGAATCAGAAACATTTCCATTCAATAAATGTGCAAATAAAATATGATGCACAAACTTATTAATGATTCCTACTTGTCTTTCTCGTGATAAATAGTGGGCAAAATCTGATATGTAGCGGGGGAAAAAAAAGAAAGAGTTCATCAGACGCTGGATTCGAACCGAGTTCATGCTCGAACGTGTCAAAACATGTTGGCATGCGTCTTACGAGCTGCGCCACTGATACTGTTATAGGTACTGCAACATTTTACAGCTATAAACCACACTATTTCTTTCTAATGCACTCAGTGCGATGTTCAGACTTAACTGTGTTAACCGCATCAGCTAAACTCTCCCACTCTATTTTTTTCATTAGTTATTAATTCCGGAGAACAAACTTGCAAATAACACCGCTTTCCTCTGGTCTACCTCTGAAAGCAGCACCTCCAGTTCACATTCTGTTCAAAGTTTCTCTTTTTGATTGCTTTTGCCTTTGCTTTTTCGTTGGGTAAGTAGAGTCATTAGCATATTCATACGGGGGAGGAGGCAGGGAGGGGTTTTGTGCTCGTGCATGCTGCGCTCAGTTTCACGTTCATTCAGATGTACAAAAGAATATGCGTGAGATTCGGCGTACGCAGTGTTTCATACATCTGAATTTTTTTCTCCTTTTACAGCTTTGTGCGTATTTACAGCTTTGTGCGTATTTACAGCTTTGTGCGTACGCAATGTTTTAGTATGATTTCCACGCAAGTCTTCGTACATGAGGCCCCAGGTCTCCAGGTAAGCCCTGCGTCTGAAAGTTGCAGGGCTCTATTTTGACGATCCATGCGCAAAGTGCAAAGCGCAGGGCGCATATGCTTTCAGGGCGTGTCAGAATCCACTTTTGCTAACATAAGGATGGAAAAATCCGCTTTGTGCCGTGGCGCATGGTCTAAAAGGGTTAAGCTTATTAATGAGTTATAGGAGTGTTTTGAGAATAAACCAATCAGAGTCTCATCTCCCATTCCCTATGGCGTATGACGTAATTTAAGTGTAAGTGGAAAAACTGAGCATTTCACTAGAGTGAACATGGACAGACATCAATTATCTTATAAATAATTAATTTAGTTTGTTAAAGGGCCATGAAAGCCCCTCGTTTCAGCAGGGTGTTTTCACACCTCTACTTTGGAAAAAGTCAGAAAAGTGGGCGTGTCCAGCTCTGTTTAGGGGGAGAGTCGGAGGAAGAAAAGTGGGAGGGTGTGGGAGTGTCTATTTGGGCATGCGCGAGTTTCAGTCAAAATACACACACAGGAGAAAGTGATGGTGTTTAACCTACATGGACATCTGTAGTCGAATTATTTGCCAGATTATTAAATGGTGGACTTTAACTGCAGTTTGGCTCTTTCATTTAGGGAATTCATTCATGTCCCTCGCGACAAACGAGATATTTGATTCGAGGAACTGCTCTAAGCGTGTATTTTTCATGCAATGTTTGATACCGCACGGCAAAATGCATTTGCTATTTAAACAGCCTAGCGCAAAACGTCAAAGTGACTCTTGCGTCAAGCTGAAACTAGCAAACAACAATTGCTTCGACACATTGCGCCGGGTGTATGATAGGGCCCTCAGAGTTTAAACGCAAATGACTGCAAAAGTACCGCAGAGAGCGGGAGGAAACAGATACCTGGCTGCAGAGTGTTAGAAATTATTATTAAGCCAACTGCATGATTTGTCAGAGAGCGTTCTCTGTGGCTCATGCGGGTCTGTGGGACAACATGCCTCCGGACAGCACCATTCCCGCAATGACAGAGCCCACAAAAATCAAAGCACACAGACAGTTCTTCATACCTCAAGTCTCTCCCGAAGCAGACATTGTAATGACAGTGTAATCATTAACAACAATATTTAGGTTCATTGATAAATAATGCCAAAAATTTGAACCAGTCTGTGATTATCTAGCTGGAGTATTATTATTATTATTATTATTTTGTAATTTACTGTTTTCTACAGGAAATAAAGAACAGTCTGAATAATAATAAATGTATTTAATATTAACTGAGCAAAACCATGTCAACAACTGAAATCACAGGGAAATGAATGGCTACAGTCAAACTTTATCTCAGCATTAGATTTGGCCTGGTTTTCACACACTGGGTCATAAATTATAATTTGTAAAAATTCTGTAAATACAATGTAAGTGGATCATAATCCAATGCAATGTTATGACTTGTTTGTTAAGGTTAAGTCAGGCACACAAGCATTCATTTATCACATGAAGCATAACATTTAACACATTAATAAACAACATAATGCCCATGTAAAGAAAATAAACTAGTAAATCGCAACTGTCCATATTTTTAAATTAGAAATAAGTGAAAACTTTACAAGGTCATGTTTGTAGCTAGTTTATGCATGTGCTGTTTCCATGTTTTGATAGGTGTTACTGCAAATAATGACAAAAATTTGAGCCAAAATCTGTTATTAATTCCACCCTTTAAAATTAGGTTCATTAGTATGTTCTCCTCTCCTCCAGGTTAGAGTTAACTCAGGTGTACCACACTATTAAACATAACATCAGCTAGATCAGTGCTGCAGAGCTGTAAAAGAAGGACTCACTGCATTTGTTTACACAGATTTCACCAGAATACAATTTATTTTAATGTGCAAGTGTTCACACTTTCCTGAAAACAGATTTTAAGTTGCGATTTACCACCACTGACATGCTATTAAGCCTGTGATTGGGGATTTGGCCACCGCTGCAGTGTGCGTCCCTTATTTTTTGTATTAAAAGTGGAAACCGTTGGTTTAGGAGTAGGTTGGGGTTAGGCTGATACAAAATACAGTTTGTGCACTAGAAAAACAATGAAAACCTTTGGAATGTCCCCACAATTCACAAAAACAAACATTTGTGTGTGTGTACCTCAGCATTGGAGATCTGGCGGGGTGAGGTGGTGTGTGATCTCCGTCCTGCGGCTGCGGTGGTTTTTTGGTCACCTGTTTGTAGATGTTTCTCGCTGTTACCCCCAACCAGACATGGTGGAGAGAGACGAGTAATGCAGCACGATTCCCACCTGAAACACACACACACCCATGCGCAGACACACACATGCATGCACACACACACAAGCATAAGTAATCCGATTAATATAACGGCATAAATTATGAATTAACACATGCACAAACATACATACACACACACAGACACACACACACACACACAGACACACACA